TTTTTGGTTGCAGCCATCATTGTTGTTTGGCGGGCTGGGGCTAGATTCGAACCCGCCAGCTCAGGTGTATGCGCCTGGTGCTTTAGTCACTTAAGCCACAGGTGCCGAGCCTCTTTTCTTTTTTTGAGACACTTTGTCACCCTGGGTAGAGTGCTATGATGTCATAGCTCACAGCAACCTCAAACTCCAGGGCTCAAGGGATCCTTCTGCCTCAGTTGGGACTACAGGTGCTGGGCACTACATCCAATTTTTTCTATTTTTAGTAGCGACAGGGTCTTGTTCTTGCTTAGGCTGGTCTCGAACTCCTGAGCGAAAGCAATCCACCTGCTTCAACCTCCCAGAGTAGTGAGATTACAGGCATGAGCCACTGTGCCTGCCCTCTGTCACTCTGTCAGTCACTCTTTCTCAGCTCCCCTCATTATATCCTCTTCACTACTCCACTCAAATGCAAATGTCCCCAAGCCTCTGGCCAGGGTTACTTCTATGTACTCACCTGCTAGGTCACCTCACCCAGTCCTGTGGCTTTAAATGTCTCCTATATGCTGACATTTCCAAAACTTATATTTCCAGTCATGACCTCTCCCTCAAGCTCCATCTTATGTATCCAGCTGGCTACTTGATACCCTGACTTGGGTTTCTCACAGGCATCTCCAACTTGACACATCCAAAAGAGAACCCTTGGTTCCTCCCACCCGTGTCCTGCTTCCTTGCCTGTTTCCCCCTTCCTGGCCACAATACACAGCGGCCCCAACCCAAGACACATGAGCCTGCTTTGAAGAATTCCTCTCTTCCTCTTACCGTGGTTTCTTATTCCCTTTCCTCCAGCACCCAACTCACCACCACTGCAGGCTCTAGCTCCAAAATCGCACACCAGTACTTCCATTTCCCTCCCTCCCACTAACTGCACCTTGGTCCAGGCCACCCGCAGTCTGGAGTAGATGAGGACAACCCCCTAACTCCTAGGACAATCCCCTAACTCCTTGCTTCCACATCTGACTCTTGAAGTCTATTCTCAGCACGGCAAAGGGATTCTGCTATTATTTTGTTTAAATAAAAACATGATCTCAGCATGCCTGCACTCAAAACCCTTTAAAGGGCTTCCCTTCAGATTTAGAATAAAATTCCGATTTCTTCCCAGGGATATCAGGGGGTCCTACTAGGCCAGCCCCACTCTGCTGCTTCAGTTCACACCCTCATCCTCCTGTGCTCTCTGCTTACCACATGGGCCTCCTCCAAAACCTGTTACTCCTCAAGGCCTTTGTGCCCTTTCTGGTGAGTAGAATGCTTGTCCCCAGATTTTCTCACCTCCCTTTCCTTCTTACCATCTGCCTCCCTGACCTCTGCAGCCAGGTCTTCTTGAAGCACTTTATCTAAAGTTGCTCTGCTTAAAGTTTAAAGCATTTTCAATCCCTGAAATGATCTTATTTATCATTTGTCTCTCTTGTGAGTTCCAGGAGAGCAGGACCCTTTCTGTCTGTTTACCACCACATTACTTGTGCCTGGACTGGGTCTACAACAGGTTGGCACTCAAAAATTATTTTTTGCATATTGAGAAACAAAAGAAAACAAAACATGGATCATTCCTCAATCCTATACTTATTTCTGACTCCCTGCATTTCTTTTTGGGCATCTGTCTGAAT